AGGAAAAGCTGGCAACCTCCCTGCACCTGCAGAACCCAAACTGGCATTTGTCGTCAGGATCAGAGGCATCAATGGTGTGAGTCCAAAGGTCCGAAAGGTGTGGCAGCTTCTTCACCTTCGCCAGATCTTCAGTGGAAATTTTGTTGAGCTCAACAAGGCTTCCGTTAACATGCTGAGGATTGTAGAACCATATATCGCATGGGGGTACCCAGATCTGTAGTCAGTAAATGAGCTAATCTACAAGTGTGGTTACGGCAAAATGAATAAGAAACGAGTTGCATTGACTGATAACAGCTTGATTGCTCCATCCCTTGGTAAATATGGCATCATCATGAAGGGTCTGATTTATGAGATCTATCCTGGTGGGAAAAACTTCAAAGAAGGAAATGACGTCTTGTGGCCCTTCAAGTTATCATCTCCACGGAGGGGAATGGAGAAAAAGAACCCACTTTGTAGAAGGTAGAGATGCTTTCACTTTGTAGAAGCCATCAATAGGCTTATTAGAAGAATTAGAAGAATGAACTCAGGTATCTGCCCTGATTGTTTTTGTAATCTGGTCAGTTAATAAACAGTGACTGCTTTCAAATTGAAAAAAACAAAAACGAACAAAAAAACCCACAATGCAATGAATTTTCTCAAAGAGCAATATTATATAACATTTCTCTTTTTAATAAAACCTCCAACCTTCTCTTTGTATTAAAGACCACCCAGTCTGCATGTATGTTCCAAATTGCAATTCATTTCTACATTTTTATTTTGACTTTGACAAGTATATAGTCCAGAGAAATGAAAATATGCAGCCACTCGTACATGAGTGTTCTCAGCAGCAATATTTATAAAACCAAAATATGGGAACAACCAAACGTCCATCAGCCAGTAAATGGATAAATAAATGTGGTATACTTACACAATGTGATATTATTCAGCAGTGAGAAGGAAGGAAATACTGACACATTTCAACATTAATGAACCTTGAAGATGTTATGCCAAATGACAGAAGCCAGTCCTGGAGACCAGGTATTGCCTGATTCCATTTACATGAAATGGCCAATAGGCAAATCTACAGACACAGAAAATAAGATGGTAACTTCTTACGGGTGGAGTGTGGGATAGTGAAGGGGTACTAACGCAGAGGTTCTCAACCTTCCTGATGTCGCGGCCCACAGGTTAAGAACCACGGCACTAATGGGTAGGGTATGTCTTTGGTGGGGGGACAATCATGTCCTAAAATTAAATCAAGACAATTTTTGTACAACTCTGTGAATACTACAAACCATTGACTTATCACTTCAAATGAGTAAATTTTATAGAATGTGAACTATAGTTCTCAGTAAGGTTCTTTATGAAAACAAAACTATGCAATTATCTTCAAGCCAGGTAACTCAACATCCATCACGAGGCCTGGAAACTCCCTGTCACAGCTGGGCCACACAGAAATACATTCACAGCTTCCAAAATTAGGTCATGGCTAGTTCTAATACTGAATTGCTCCTCCTACTACGAAGGGTCTCATTCTCCAGCTTCACACGTGTGAAAACGCGTCCTGCTGAGCTCAGTTCTCTGCCCTTTCTGGAAGTGTCCTTCAACACCGTCTCCCTTGCTTAGGGAGAGGTCCACAGAGGGGAAGCTTCTGTGGATGTGGAATTCTGTGCCCCAGCACGGTGTTGCGGCCTAGCGGGGTCCTTTTGCTAGGATAACAGCTCCACCCCACACCAATCTACTCCCTACTTACACTTCCTCAGCTTGGGTAGCCTCCATCAGTGAGACCCCGGAGTGGAAAGGGCTGAATTACATGTGGGCAGGAAACAGAAAAGTTTGTGGTTTTCTGCTTCTTTGCATGCACCCCCCCCCCCAGTTACACGTGTCCGTCCAGTGAGTCATCACGGGGGAGTAACACGCACATCGTCTAGTAAGCTGACACAGCTTCCCCGGTGGGCTCCAAGTGCTCAGCAAAACCCTGGATCCCAGTGACCATGACAATCTAGGTGTCTTAGTAACAATTATGTGTGATGCCAAGATTTTTAAGTTCTATTCCTCACTGACAGAAGACCAAAGGAACATTCATTTATAATGAAAACCCCTCAAGTTTGTAGGTAGAAGACATTCCAAAAATTTCTGATTTTTATTCTAATACATAAAAAAAGTTCTCTTCTTTCCAGTTTTCAAATTGCAAATTGAGGTGAAAACAGCAAAGTGATACTGGAGCGACTTCAGAAATTCTACATAAATTACACTGGACTGTAAATTACTTGGCAAAGACAAACATGTGATTGCAAACAAGTCACTGCCTCATTCAGTATTCACTGCCTGAAGAAAATGAAATTCTTGAGAACTTGCCTGCTGGTTTGTGGTCCCTTAAATGTGTTACCATTTCAGCTGCATCCATCGCAACGGGGCAGGAGGGGAGTGCTCTGTTGTCACGGTCCCTACAGCTGGGAAACCTACTTGAGCCTCTGTTGGTTGTGCCAAGTAATATAAATAATGCCATTCTTTACGTATGTATGACCAATCCCCAGAAGCTCTCAGTCGCTGCCTCAGAAACGATGGCGGGTCTCTAGTGCACACTCTGCATCACCCAAACCCCAGACCTCGCGCTTGACCTCAGACAAGTGCGAGAAGTGACTGAATTTCAGATTCTTATATCCAAATGTCTTTTCAACAGATCTGTCTAAATGTGTAATAAGCATCCTGAACTTGACAAATTCAAAACTGCTCCTCACAGTGGGGTGAGGAAGGAAGGAAAGGGGTGAGGGAGACAGTGAGGGACTCGGGAGCAGACCCCTCGCTCTGGGCCTCACGGCCAGGGTGACCTATCAACTTAAATAGTTTTCAACTTGATGGCATTTCACTGGTCTTGGCCTGCTTAGTATCAACCTTAACACTGCACAGTGCTAATATTTCTCCCTTAATAACAGGTACGTTTGTAGAAAACAAAATTATGAAACTAATTTTTTATTTAAAATGCTTATTTTCTAAGTGGTAATTAAAATTGTTAGAAATTCCAAAACTGAAAATGACCCAGTCATATTTAGAACGCTGAACAAATTATTCTGTTACCGCTTTCTGCACAACTGAAAAATAGCAGGAAGGAAGACTTACGCTTCTTATGGCCTGAGACAGAGACGCTAACAAGACATCTGTGCACAAGGAAACCAGCGACACCTGGCACCTCCTGACGCACCTGGCCTGCGCAGCCAAGGT